GGGGGGGGGGGGGGGGGTGGCTGGGCTCCGGCCCTGGGGGCCCAGCTGCTGGCAGGGAGGCTCAGGAGGCGGGTGGGAGGCAGGAGGAGGCAGGGGGCAGGCCCTACACCCCCACCCAGCCCCTCTCCAGTGACTCGCTCTGCATCACCCACCAGAGGCCAGAGCTCGGTCAGCAGCTGGCTCCCTCCCCAGGCTGTCCCCAGCCGGCTCCTGCCCCTGGAACTGGAGGCTGCAGGCCCCGGGCAGGGAAATAGCACATTCAGGAACCAGGGCACCCAGACCCCGCCCACGGCCTCAGGAGGCCTCCGTGGGGAGGGGCGGGCAGGGCTGCCCCCGAAGGCACAGAAGGAGGTGAAGCCACCAACTTCAGCCCAGGAACCAGGTGGGGGGAACAGCTGGGGGTGGGGGACCCCTCTGTCCCCCGTCCAAGGCTGTCCCTTAGTGGAGGGCCCAGCCCGGCCTCAGGGTGGCTGCGATCAGGACTGAGGGGAGCACAGGGCGGCCTCGGGGGTCAGGCAGCCAGGGGCCCCTCCTTCTCTGCTGCAGCTCACACTAAGCAACAGATGAGAAGTTGGGGGCCATGGGGACCTCTCCCCAAGTGTGGCTCTCCGGGCCCCTGGTGCCCACCGCGATGACCCCATCACTGTAGAAGACATTTTCTCCTGCTGAGACGCATCACCCCTGCAAACTACCTCTTCCCGCGACGTCTTTCTCCCCTGGTACCAAAAAGAACCCTGTACCTCCTCCTCCTCCCTCCGCCAGCGCAGTGGCCTTGGTCTCAGAAAACCCAAGGGAGCAGGTCCGGGCCTTGGGGTGGGGCTCTCCTTCCCGCCGGCCGCCGGCCCCCTGCGAGCTCGATACTTGAACGCCCGGCCCTGTGCCTTGGACCTGGGCGAAGCTAAGAGAGGGGACAGCACAACTCAGATTTGAGCTGGGGGAGGGGGGGGGCAGGGGGTGGTCTTGGCAAGGCTCCTATCCTCACCCCTCGCCCCCAACCTTTGCAAAGGAGGTGTGAGGCCTCTCGGGTGACTTGGAAACTGGATGAATTCCATTCTAACTTATTTTGACGTGTATACAAACCAACTGTTTAGAAATCCCACTTGTGCAAAGCCCTACTGTGTTTTTATGTTCCTGTTTAAAAGAGAAGTTTACTTAGCAATAATTATAAATAAATGAATATTCTTTAGTGAGGCGACTGCGGGTGCTTCTTCCCGTGGTTCTCGGGGACCTGGTCCTCCCCACTCCCCCGGAAGGAACTCCTCACAAAGCTTTGCAGCCCCCCACCAGCTGGTGTGACTCCGTGGTTGAGCGTCAACATATGAACCAGAAGGTCAAGGTTCAATTCCGGTCAGGGCACATGCCGGGGTTGTGGGCTCGATCCCCAGTCAGGGGCGTGCAGGAGGCAGCTGAGCAATGATTCTCTCTCGTTGATGTTTCTATCTCTCCCTTTCCCTTCCTCCCTGAAATCAGTAAATATATATTTTTTAAAAAAGAAAAGCTTTGGGGGGTGTGCAGGAGGCAGCTGATCGATGTTTCTCTCTCATCGATGTTTCTGACTCTCTATCTCTCTCCCTTCCTCTCTATAAAAAAAAAATCAATACAATATATTTAAAAAGAAAAGCTTTGCAGCCCTACCCAGCAGGGCATCGCTCTCTGGGGACCGGAGGAGACCCACACCATCCTTCGCACCCACCAGAGTGAACCCCCCGGCAGAGCCAGGCGCCCCCAGGGAGCTGCTCCAAGCCCAAGCGAGGGGGCGCAGACCAAGGCCCCAGAATTCCCACCACTGGCAGAGAAAAGCGCTTCCCCTCCTTGCCCACCCGCAGGGCCCGGGACAGAAGCCAGCTCACCAGGCCGAGCTGGGCTTCCGAGGCTGTGCATTCTGGGGAGCCGCCAGCCCTTTGCTACTGATGGGCACGAGGGGCCAGAAGCCCTGAGCTTCCCCCCAGGAGCTGGGCCCAGCAGGGTGAGCACGCCAGCCTTTCTTCCCATGGCCCTGGGAGCCCAGGGTGGTGACCCAAGAAGAGTGGCCCTTGGGACAGAAGTGGGTGCCAGTGTGTGTGTGTGTGTGTGTGTGTGTGTGTGGCTACAGCCCATCTCAAAGCTACTGAGGTTCCCGACTGTTGGGTTTCGGGAACTCTGAGAGTCTCCCCAACGTGTGGGAAATGGACTTGGGGTTGCCAACTATTTGTCCATCAAGTGAATATGGGACAACTCTTCCCCAGGACATTTTAACACGAAAAGTGTCTTACAAGGACAGCCCTGTAAATTGGATCTATTTCACTTTATAGAAATGTGCTCACCTTACTCTTCTAGTTTTGCTAAAGGAGGGAGGAGGTGACCCGGCCAGCGTGGCTCAGTGTTTAAGCATCGACCCATGAACCAGGAGGTCACGGCTCGATTCCAGGTCAGGGCACATGCCGGGATTGCGGGCTCGATCCCCAGTAGGGGGCGTGCAGGAGGCAGGTGGTCAATGATTCTCTCTTATCATAGATGCCTCTCTCTCTCTCTCTCTCTTTTTTCTGAAATCAATAAAAATATCCATACAAAACAGAAAAAAAGAAAAAGAATGGAGGAGATGAACTCAAGTCCGGGGCTCAACGTCCCAGACCCCACGGGGGCCATTCATACCCCCAGCCCCCAGCCCCCCAGCAGCTGTCAGTGGAGAACCAGAGGCGGCTGCCAAGGGGGGGGCCTGTTTTCAGTACCAAGAAAAGGGCAAGGGCTCTGGAGATGTTTATAAGGTGAAAACCGGAAAGAAAAAGAAAAACACAACCTGAATCTATGGAGAAGTGATGACCCCCAAACGATACAGGAACCACGCTAGGAAATTCCAGGGGGCCCACAGGCCTGCGCCCCCAGAGTCCCAGCGGCTACTCGGGGGGCCCCTGGAGCCTCCTGCTCGCCCCCCCCCCCGGGCCCAGGACTGGATGGAGCCTGGGACAGACCTGTCCCCGTGGAGCCCCCGCCCTCCGGGCCCCAGCTGCCTCCTCCCCTGAGGGACAAACACAGCAGACAGCTTTGTGAAGAGGTTTTAGTAGCTAAATATGGCACCACGTGTTCCAAGGCGATATAAATTACAGTATGCGGAACATACTGACGGGCTGAGGTAAAACACACCGCTCCTGCCTCACGTCACCTCCGCGAGGGGCAGCGCAGAGACTTGGAAAAACATGTCGCTTATAAAAAACGTCCCCTAGAAAGGCCTCCTGAGAGGGCTGAGGCTCACCCTCCGCGAGTCCGGGACCACAGCCGGGCGCGCTCGCCACCCCTACTTCTGCCCCAGGGCTTTGTCCAGGTTGTTCTTGATGGTGTCCAGGAAGTCCGAGGTGTTCAGGAAGTGTTCGTTCAGCTTCACGCTGCCGAGAGAACACCACCCGCGTGAGGGGCAGAGCCCGAGCTTGGGGGTCTTGATGGCAGCCCCTGTCGGGAGGGGCGTGGCCGGGCCACCTG